CAGGACGTGTGGGGATTCTTGCCTTGCGGGGCAAGGCAGGGATAAGAGTATCTTTTTCTTGTGAAAATTTTAAAGAAATTTCCCCATTTTGTGGATCTCCATTCCCAATGCAAAATTTGTTAAAAAAAATGATTAAATATTAATTTTGGTCTCTCAACTTTATAGTGTTGTATTTTTTTGGTCTCTTAACTATTTTTTGCACTTTTTTTATCTCTCAACTCTAGGAACTACACAATTTTGGTCTTTTTGACAATTAAATGACACTTGGTTGTTAAAATATTCTAGAATAACATATTTTTTATGACATGTAATAACACATCATATAATCAACTTACGTAGACATAAAAATGTCAAGTCAGATTCCACAATATCAAACAATTTACAAATTAAAAGACAAAAATACAATTCTACCCCCACTTTCGTCTTCTTCGTGGTTCTCCTTCTCTCTCACTGTTCATCTTCCCTTTTCCTCTATCATTGTCTATCTTCCCCTCCCTTTTCCTTTCCTAATCATGTAAGCCCTTCTTCTCCTTCTCTCTTCGAAAAGGAGGGCATTTGATTTCTCATCTCACATTACTAACAATAACAACCATAAATTTGATAGTTTGGTGTTAAGGGAAAAAAAAATAAATAGTAGATTTGGAAAAAAAAAAAAAAAAGGAAAACCCATTTCTGAGTTCAACGAGAACCCTTTGATGGTTTCATAAGAACCCTCCTTATGTTCCTCATGAACCCAGATATGGGTTCATCGATCTAGGTTTGTGATGAACCCAAATCTGGGTTTGTGAGGAACCTAGATAGTATGGGTTTGTCGCACACAATTTAACTCGACTTAGAAGAATTAAATAATTGAATTTGACATTTTAAAGTAAATAAATAAAAGTAACCTTGGACTCGGCTAATCATGAAAGCAGCTAAGCACCACATATGCTATAGCGCAAATAGACCCTTAATTGAATCCCAAAAAACCATCTATGATAAATACACTAAATTGAAAAAGAAAACACACCTATTTCATCAACCAAACTAGGAAATAATCTCATATCTATGCTTCTTTCAACATCAGTAAAGAAATTGAGGATATATAATTGAAGAGTAGTGGGATACCTTCACAAAAACTCCCTCGAGCTTTGGGTTTGTCGCAAACCCAGATTTGGGTTCACAACGAATCCAAATTGTCTAGGTTCGTGATGAACCCAGATTTGAGTTCGTGACAAACCCACATCTTCTGGGTTCACAACAAACCCAGATCGTCTAGGTTCCTTACGAACCCAGATTGTCTCTATAGGGGGATGAGGAGGAAGGGAAAAGAGAAAGAGTGATGAAGAGTGAGGAAGGCTATAAACATTCATGGTGGTGAGGAGAACAAAGAGAAAACGGGCAGAGGAGAACGATGGCAAGAACAATAAATTAAGGGCATTTTAGTCATTTTATATTTGAAGAATGGAAAAGAATTAAAAATGATAATTGAATGTGACTTGATAATTTGACATTGTCCACCTAAGCTAATTGTATGATTTGTCATTGATGTGTCATTATAAAAACTAAGGAAAATGCCACGTGGATCGACTTAACTGCTTTAATTGACAGAAGGATTAAAATTATGCAATTCTTAAGTTGAGGATAAAAAAAGTGCAAAAATTAGTT